CACCTTTCGCCATTCGGTTCAACACCATGTCGATCAAGCAGTAAGTGCCCGTACGGCCGGCACCATCGCTGTTAGCGGTTAAAAGGTTAAGTTTTATAAAAATGTCATATACCTGCAGATTCATTGTTAAGATTGTAAATTACAATATTTAAAATTCAACATTAAAGTAGGAAAGTATGTAAAGTCACAATTATGAATTTCAATAATAATTTTCCAAGTACAAATCTAACAAGACTGTTTGTCTTATCTTTAAATATAGGTTAAAAAAGTCATGCAAACTCGCAGAAATGTCTCGAATGACAAATGTTTAGATGTTTTTCAAAACTTATTTTAGGTATACACAGTAAATTCGTTAACCACTAATTGTGTTATTTGGTGTAATTGCTTTGGGTGGCGTTCTTTAAAGAAGTTGCTCTTTGTTCCCTAGATATATAAATAAAAACAGTCATATTATCAATGTCTGAGTTCACTGACTGTCTAACAACTAATCGTATAGATCTTGTGACTTGCTGATAGTCTATCTGATAAACAACAATCACGCATAGAGTTCGTGATAAAGTTACTGTCAGTAGTTATCTACGTCTATCCTACCTGTCGTCTGACAAGTTTACTAATAATAAAAAAAATTGCTCTAAAAGTTTAAGTCTAACTAGTCTAGTCTAAGTCTACAAGTACTCCGAATGTTTCTAGTTGATATTATCATACTTACTTTACTTTTATATTTAATATTATAAATGCGAAAGTGTAGATGGATAGATGGATGGATGTTTGTTAGAGTTTGTAACCTAAACGACCAACGGATTTCGATGAATTTTGGTATGGGTGTAGAGGATAGTCTGGAAGAACACATAGACAACTCACTTTTGTTTTTTTAATCCCACGCGCACGGAATCGCGAGCAAAAGCTAGTTTGTTAATAACGAGTTTTGTTGTACCGATGATGTCACCCCAAAGTAGTGCAATAACAAAATTTGAGTTCGTTCAGACGCAAGCTGTAAGTGTATGGGGGCGTATCTGTCCATGCGATTGTCACGTTGTTGTACACGCGATCTTACTTTGAACATCTTAAAAATAATATCACGAACTTCGTTTTATATTTTTTTATGCTAAATAATTGCAATGTTTACGTTAAAGGACAAAATAATCACAGCCTGTATAATCTACCTTGGAATTCAAAACGTTGGAATGAAATAACGAGTATTGTAGAAATTTTTATAATGTTATTTAGTTTATCTCCACTTACCTGCAGTGCACGACAATAGGGCAAGATCGTCCGCGGTATGACTTGTTCACCTTCCTGTAAACAAACTTATTTAAATATCGTCAAAGATAGAAAAATATCCCCATTAAATTATATAAAAAAACCTTTGACCGACAATATCGCGATTGGCATGCGTAAGTTTGAGGGACAGCGCCATCTTTTATACATCAATTTAAACTATTCCAAATGCTCACTCTTTGAGGTATCTAGTAGGACTTGTTGTATATTTTTATTGACATTTTCGTACCTCCTGAATTCAAGTAGTGCCTTGGTAGAGGCGGGCACGCCGTTCTCTGGCCAGGAGAGGAAGTGGAACTGCGTGACGGTGCGGGTCTCGCCGGTGCGCTGGTTCTTCAGGTAGAAGCTGCGGACTAAATAGTCGTCGCACCAAATATGCTCGCTTACGAGGTGCACCTGTATTATAAAAACAAGATATAAATCCGACTTAAAAAAATGTATTAACACGCTTGCTACGAGTAGAACAATAAATAAAAAAGGCTACCACTAATTAAACACTTAAAATAAATTGAACTGCTCACTATTTGGTCCTTGGTTAAGCTTTTTTTTTAATTAACTTCATCTTTACTATTAAAGGATGCTTGTGCTGCACGTCTCTATGAATCTGAGTTTAAGAGTCGTCAGGTAGAAGTGTAATTTATTTAACTAGTTTATTTTCTACTGCGGAGTAGTGAAATTACTGGAGAGAGAGAAGTTTACTGGACCAGGCCCAGGCCCACACGCGGCTGTAGTGCCTCAGAAGAAGAAGAAGAAGATGTAGTGAAATTTAAAATAATAAAACATAGTCTATGTTACCCCCTGTTAACATTAATAGCAAAAGAATATTTGAAATCGGCCCAGTAGGTTTTGAGTTATTTCAATACATACGAAAATACAATTTCTTCCTCTTATTAACATAGATGAAATAATACCTCATAGATGTGGTATAGTTCAGAGCCCTCTTCGGGCCAGTAGCGATGGCAGAGCTGCTGTCCGTTCTCGGTGAGTCGTGTGAGCATCACCATGACGACGCTGCCTTGCTCCCACACCAGCTGCCAGAAGTCGGGCGCGGTGTGCGCCAGCGGGCCCGCCGCCGCGATGTACGCCGGGTTGCGGGGGTCGTGGTCAGTCTGGACATTTAAGAAAAAGTAAGTAAGTAAAGTATGAACCTCTAGGTATAAACGTGGTTTCTAAACCTAATTGAGCCAATTGTTAGCACAAGTAAAAAGATAGATTATAAATGTGAAAGTTTAGATAGATGTTTGTTGAGTTTGTAGCCCAAACGGCTGAACGGATCTTGATGAAATTTGGCATAGATGAAGAGGAGATCTGGAAAATGTTTTTGTTTTTTTTTTATCCACAAGGACGGAGTCGCGTGCGAAAGCTAGTAACATATATTTATTTTATGCGAATATACACAGCAGTCAGTGCTTACAATAGTAGAAGCATTGATGTAGTCGGATCCGAGATGGTTGGTGAGCGTGTTGAGTGTGACACGCGAGTGGTCGTAGGGCAGGACATCGGGGTATCTGTTCTTGCCGGTGTTGTCAGGTCGCAGCGCCGCCGCGGTCGCGCTGGGCTCCGCCTCGTAAGCGCACAGCGCGCGCCACTCCTGCTCCAAGCGGTCCTTGTTGCGCAAGTGGTCTTCCATATACGCCTAGTAAAAAAAAGCAATAATTTATAATCTATACTAACATAATAAAGCGTAAACACACACTATTTTGTGTCGATCGAAAGATTTCTTAGTCGAGATTTTTTTATATTAAATTCGCACCAAGTGGCTCTCGCTATCGTCACTTCGATCGTTAATTCAAATTTTTGGAATTAAAAGGAATAATTAAATGACATAGCAGTTATTATACAATAATATTACATTAAATCATGCGTATAAACTTTTTATTTTATTAAATTTGTACAATGTCCTTCGTTTCATTCTTTATCAGGTACTCACCAAGACCATGTGTCCGGTCGATATGTCCATGTTCGTTAGAGCGGGTTCCTCGCTCCTAATAACAATGTAATCAGTTAAAACATGTGATTCACTGAATCATGTCATTGTATAAAAACAACAATTTAAACAGAAAAATCAAATCCAATACTTTCTATCATAATGGGAATTCTATCGATCACAGAATAAGAAACATTTCACACAGGATGTTTTTTTCTAGCCCGTGTAAACTGGATATTAAATCCCGTGAACAAATATGACATTGAATAGTCCTGCTCATAACATCAGATGAAATACAAATCTGCTGGTTTATATTTATCCGTGATGTTCTTTTTTTTGTTGAAGAATTAATTACATGTCCTAAAGATTAACACCTTCACTAACTTTAAACATCATCGTCAACATCTCCCGTACCTTGGACTGCTCACGTAGGGTCGCCGCACCGGGTTTTCGTCCTCCAAATAACTCTATCATCCGTCATCTCAGTTACCACTCTCTTTTTGGTCATATCACCTTTCACACAATCTATCTTTTTCTAGGTCTACCTCTATCTGTGTAACACTCCACGCTCGTAATTTTAGTCAAGTCTATCATCAGTCTGTGTTAATCTACTACTGGACATTAGTTCCCAAATATTACACAGTATGTTGGCTAGTTTTAATTTTAATGGATTAAATTGCATGATTTACCAGGAGGAGGTACTAGATCGAGTAGAGGGTGAATTCCCCTCAGGCTCCTTGGACAGCGAGGTGATGCGTTGCGGGGCATCGGCGTGCGGGGGCGCTGCGGGCGGCTGCCCCGACCACTTGCCCGACATGCGCGCGCGGCATAACTCCTGGGTGTCATAAATATTATTATATTAGCTATCAAATAATTTATTGTTTTCGAAATAGTAATCATAATTCTCGTGTTTATCGAAAGAAAGCTTTTTTTATATAAAAAGTATATTTTTTTTAATTCTGGTTCTTTCTCGTCTTCCTAATTTAGTTCC